CTGTCGCTAGGCGCCAGGCTGGAGTGCAGTGACGCAATCTCAGCTCACTGCAATCTCTGCTTCCTGGGTTCAAGCAATTCTCCTGCCTCAGCCTCCCAAGTAGCTGGGACTACAGGCATGCACCACCATGCCCAGCTAATTTTTGTATTTTTAGTAGAGATAGGGTTTCACCATGTTGGCCAGGATGGTCTCGATCTTTTGACCTCATCATCCACCCACCTCGGCCTCCCAAAAGTGCTGGGATTACAGGCATAAGCCACCGCGTCCGGCCTACTTTTTTTTTTAATTGAACTTTTAAAAAATAATTCATGTCAGGTGTAGTGGCTGACACATATAATCCCAGAACTTTGGGAGGCCACAGCAGGAGGATTGCTTGAGGCCAGGAGTTTGAGACAAGCCTGGGAAACATAGCAAGACTTCATCTCTACCAAAAAGTTTTCTTAATTAGTTGGCCATGGTGGCGTGTACCTGTAGCCTTAGCTCCTCAAGAGGCTGAGAGGGGATGGCTTGAGCCCAGGCGATCAAGGCTACAGTGAGCCATGGATCACAACACTGCACTCCAGCCTGTCTCTAAAAATTAATAATAATAATTCAGTAAAATATTTCATGTATGAATTAAAATTTCCACTTACCAATCAAAATTAATTGTACTTTGTAGTTTGTATTCTGCTCTGTTGTTTCACATTTAAATACTGAACTCTGAGAGAATAATGGAATTGAAGTAACTCGAGTTCTGTTATGGGGTTTCTACAATCATTGTGCTATCATTGTTTATGTCTAATCTACTGTTTAAACTCAGGACTATGCAGCGCCAATGGCGCTAAAGATGCAACTTGGCCCCAAAGCTCTAGCAAAAGCTATACACACCATTAAGAACTTACTCCGACTTTATCACTGCCAGTGCATGGCGATAATAAAAAACAGACCCACACTGGTTTTAGCACTGTTTCAAAATTCTACAAACAATCCACTCCCTTACTCCCTGTACCTAGGGGGGAACCCCTTGCACCATCCCATTCTTTAAGTCCATGCCAGTATCTATTAAACTTCTAAATGCATGGACCTTCTAATCCAGCAATTGCAATTCTTTGAACACAATGTCCTGATGTACCTACACAAGTAGTCAAAATATGCAAGAATTTCCATTGCTACATTATTCATGACAGCAAAAAAAAGAGCTGAAAGGTCCAGTAAGGAGCAGGGGTTGAATTAATTATGCCATATCTATTCCATAGAATCCACTCAGCATTAGAAAGAATTAGGTCAGCCTGTTTGTATTGCCCAGGAAGGGTATGATATATAGACATACTTCAGAGGTATTGCAGGTTCAGTTCCAGACCACTGCAATAAAGTGAATCTTGCAATAAAATAAGTCACACAATTTTTTTATTTCCTAGTGCACATAAAAGTTATGTTGGCCAGGCGCAGTGACTCACACCTATAATCCCAGCCCTTTGGGAGTCCGAGGCCAGTGGATCAGCTGAGGTCAGGAGTTTGAGACCAGCCTGACCAACATGGAGAAACCTCATCTCTACTGAAAATACAAAATTAGCAGGGTGTGGTGGCGCATGCCTGTAATCCCAGCTACTTGGGAAGCTGAGGCAGGAAAATCCCTTGAACCTGGGAGGCACAGGTTACAGTGAGCCAAGATCGCATCATTGCACTCCAGCCTGGGCAGCAAGATTGAAACTCTTGTCTCAAAAAAAAAAAAAAAAAGTTATGTTTACACTATACATTATGTCTAAAAGTGTACATAACTTAATTTAAAAATACTTCATTGCTTAAAAATGCTAACAATACAGGCTGGATAACACAGTGGGACTCCATCTCTATAAAAAGCTTTTGGTGAAACCCCGTCTCTACTAAAAATACAAAAAATTAGCTGGGCATGGTGGCGCGTGCCTGTAGTCCCAGCTGCTCAGGAGGCTGGGGCAGGAGAATTGCCTGAACCTGGGAGGCGGAGGTTGCGGTGAGCCGAGATCGCGCCATTGCACTCCAGCCTGGGTAACGAGAGCGAAACTCCGTCTCAAAAAAAAATAAATAAAAAATAAAAAAAATAAAAACTACCGAGGTGTGGTAGAGCACACTTGTCATCCCAGCTACTCAGGAGGCTGAGGTAGGAGGATTGCTTGAGTTCAGGAGGCTACAGTGAGCTATGATTGCCCACTGCACTCCTGCCTGGGCAAAAGAGAAAGACCCTGTCTCAATTAAAAAGAAAAAAGGTGGCCGGGCACGGTGGCTCAAGCCTGTAATACCAGCACTTTGGGAGGCCGAGGCGGGTGGATCACGAGGTCAAGAGATCGAGACC